TTAAAACCGCGTTGTGATGGGTGCTCAGATCGTCAACGTACTCTATGTTCCCTTGCCAATTGCTTCAACTTTTCGATTGGTGTTTACTGTCCCAATTTCAGCTTGAAACACCAATCCCAAACAGTATTCTTTTTCTATCTTTTATTATTATAATTTGACTTTTGGCAAACAATCAATATGAAGGTTCTATTGAATATAGTTCTCTGGCCCCTTGCTTGCGTATGGCTGTTTGCAATACAAGTGCCGGTCATTTCAATTCTGTGACTGTATCCAAGTGAAGACACCAATAACAAGGGGTCTTATAGCCTTGACAGTTGGCTTCCCATAGATTTGGTTTGCTAACTATAACGTTTTCTTTGGATAGTGCTAGGTAACATGTTATGTGACACTTTGCAACGATAAGAGCTTGATTGAACAATACCAGGAGGAACACAGTGGAAAAATCTGGGGATTGTGATTGCAATGATGTACTAAGTCCATCACTTTCTCCATAGCTACTTGATCAGTTTGCTAACAACAACATTTTCTTTGGATTGTGCTAGGTAACATGTTATGTGACACTTTACAATGATAAGAGCATGATTAACAAGAGGAACACAGTGGAAATAGGGATGAGCTATTGTGATTGCAATGATTTACTAAGTCCATGGCTTTCTCTATAGCTGCTTGATCTAAATGTAGTGAAATCACGATGTAGTGCAATTGGTGAATTTTCTTGCTAGAACTTTTGATTCCAGCATTCTAGGTGGAATGAGGAGAAAGGTGAAATCACTTCTAGCCTTACCTTTACTGCTCATAAATTTTCTCCACATTTTTCACTATGGAATCCTTTTAACTGGGTTTTAGGAGCATCTTTTCATCCACCTCAGAGTGAAGTTGTGAGTTTCTTAAGTGCTTTACATCCCACTTTCACAACTTTCTTTGACAGGGTGTTTTGTCTAAGGAACCAATTTATAGGGATTGGTGTTTGGATTCATGAATTAGCAGAGACAAAGGTGGCTCATTTTGCAATAATCTAGCTTGCTACTTTAGCAAATGAGGCTGAGTACCTTGTAGTGATCTTGGTTATGCAATTGGCCAAAGATCACAAGCTCAAATATATGGTTTTCATCAGGGACTCACAACTCATTGTCTGTCAACTTCATAGTAAGTATTAGGTGCAGAAGGATAATCTCAAGGACCTTATGTGCTGTGGACCTTGGGGAATGCTTTTAGTTTTTCAACTTTCAAAATATCCTATGAGTGGAGAACAACCACACTCTTTTTGATCGTGAGATCCCTCTAGCTCTAAATTCTAGAGTTCGTAAAGTCCACCTCATTAGTGACAAAAATCCCATCTTGATTATGTGTGTTCTTCCCCCCTGCATATGCAACACAATTGTTAGAGTTTCTCCAAAGGTACAAAAACATGTTTGCCTCAGATTATTCCCAGCTTCCAGGTGTTCCTATGAACACCATAAAATTATTAAAATTCATAACTAAGTATATACAAGATTAATCTTATTGTATAACAACTATTAGATGGTAATAACTTAAAATATAATAGGATGTTTTTTAAAAAGTTAATAATTTATAAACATGATGATAAAATATCTTAGAATATCCAAGCATATTTTAGGTGTATCAGGTTCAACTAAAAATCTCATAGAATATGCCTAAATATTCTAGGGATATTCCTTACACACTAACTTCAGGTTAAATAATTAATGTAAACCTCACATTCAGTTGGCTTTATTAAAGTTTATTTAGCTCAAGCAAGGTATGTATTTGAGTTCTGGAAACGTTCAAAAATTTTATGAGTTCAGAAGGAGAATTAACCTCTCCTGGAACCCCGCCACTTGCGGTTGAGAAATGGTTGCATGAGGCCAGCCTCTCTCACCCAAGGAAATAAAATTCAGCAGATCCACAAACTTCATCTAGTGATCTCATAGAAAAGCTAGAATCTCCTGGTATAAGTGATTAGTTCTAGAGAAGTGATCGGTCTATGATCTACTACCACACTGGAACCAGTTCTAGCAAACAAATTAATCTACGAGACTACAAATGTATAGCTGCATTTCTTTGGCTGCAACCAAACTCTTCCTTGTGATTGAGTGGTGTCTACAATTGATCATCTCACCAACAGGTTGAGGCTGTACACGGTGGATCTTATTCCCGGCATACAGCATCCTGGAAGAGGTGAGGCGATTAAACACAGCCGCGATATCCAAGAGAACATCCATTCCTCCACCTAACTCCAAATTCCGGGATGGGGTTCTGCCAAGGAAGAAACTCCCCAGCCTTGAGCTTCACAGGCAAGGAAGATGGAAATGTCTTGGAAGATCTACAGCTCATTGTGAATTTCGACAAAGGAATGCTCCAAGAGTCGTACCTTTCTTCTGAAAAGCAAATGTATGAGAACAACTTTGACAATTTGATTAAGCATATGAAGCTCAAATATTTATAAAGCTTTAATATGGTTCTGGAGTTGGGGCATCAGCTGGGCAATACTTGCACAATTTAAAGTTTTTCAGATAATTTTCACCACAAATTTTCTTGCAGAAGCTGATGTTCGTGGCTTGATTATAAGTATCACAAGGCTTACAACTGTCTCGATGATAGCAATGCTCGGAACACTCTATTTCCACATTTGAAGGCCCTTTGACAACACTGCATAAATCACATGCTCTTCCAGTGTTTATTGCAGCACATTCGTGACATATGCGTTGTACAATTGCTTGCAAATCTATATATATATATATATAAGTTAATTTCTCTTAAAATCTTTGGTATTTACCTTGGGAACAGACTTGAGATTGTTCAAGTACCACAGCTGAAAGCACAGCCAGAGAACAGATTACTAAATAGTATGCCATTGATGTGGGATTGTATTCAAGTTTATTCCAGCTTAAATACAAATTGTGCTGAGACTTCAAATTTAGCGTTATGTGGACTCTTCTAGAACTTCGCAACTGTTCCTTGACCGCAGAACTGTAGTAGGATGTCCGGTCTCAAACAGGATGAAAGACAATACAGTATTCTTTTTCTATCTTTTATTATTATAATTTGTCTTTGGGAAACAGGTAAGTCATATATCCCTTCTCCTTTTCTCTTTATCATGGTACTGTGATCTCGTCAATATGCCTCCCATGTACATGTAGAAGGTTCTATTGAATATAGTTAAGAATTTTGCATTTATAAAACTCACAATTTAGGCTACTGTGCAGTCACTGAAGGCTATGGTTATCATGGACATCAGAATAAATTGACGAGGGAAGACTCCCGCTGAAATGCTCGTTTACACATGCACCTTCTCCAGACTCAAGCGCAGGTGTGTGATCAGCAAGATCGACTCAAACATCCCGTGCACTATGAGAACTGGCAGGAAGGAACCAAAACTATTGTCTACAAGGACTGTGTGACCGGGTATGGACCACTGGGACTATTTACAAGATGGCAGAGTGGCAATTGCTGTAAGAATCTCTCTAGTTTGATAAATAGTGACTAAGAATGTACTGGTCTCCTCCAACAAAACTGCTACTAACTGAGTACCTCCCCAACGACTGTCTCTTCCATCACACCAGCCTATGGAAGGCCAGGTACCATTGCCTTGGTGGAGGTGCCATGCCTCTAGGTTGCTAGAAAAAGATTTAGAAAATCATAACTTACCAGAAACTAGTGAAACCCCCTTTTTTTACTCGAACGTGGCTGCTTTAGTTTGTTCTCCTCTAGAAGCTCTTGCACTTGGTTCATCTCCTCCAGCATTTCCCAGCGTTAGGCTGCATCTTAGAGCAGTTGAAGTCGAGGAACCGGGGCCTTCCATCGCGAGCAATCATCACGTTGTGCCTCCTGAGATCCCCATGAAGAACTCCCCTTGTGTGGATTTTGTACAGCCCCAACCTCAAGGCAGCCAGAGTGAGCCTCGTCACCCGGATATCTCCAAGCTTCCTTGTGCCCTCATCCGACAGCGCCAAGTAGACCGCGTAGCCTGCCCACCCCATAGAAAGTTGGCGTATATACACCATAGAGGTCTTGCATAGCAATGTAGGCCTTCTGCTCCTGCACGAACGCCTCTGCCGCGCCCTCCCACCGCAGATCAAACGTCTTGAGCACGATCCTGATCCCAGTGCTCTTGAAACACCCCTCCAAGACGTTCCCGAAACTGGCCCAGCCCGCGACGCGGCCCGTGAGTCCGAGCTCCTGTATGCTCGGCACGGACATCCCGCCGAGTCTGCTTGCATCCACCACTTGTAGCCGAGCGTGGCTTCGACGTGCGGGACGGATGCCTAGGAGTGTGGAGCACGGGTGGACGCAAAGGGAAAAAGCTCCCGGCCCAATCCAAGCTTTGAGTCCTTGCTTAGACCGTGGAGGAAGAACAAGAAAGCTCCTACCGTTGCGTCTTTCCTCCCGAACACGGGAGAGAACTGGAGGCGCTTGCTGGTGGCATCTGTCCTGCGAAAGAAAACAGTCTGGTGGTAGCTCGAGATGTAGCCCACCCGCGTCTCGTCCAGCACCATGCTGCCAAAGAGACGCTCGACGTGGTATTCAACCCTGCGGTCATCAGTCCCCACTTTGGTCAGCTCCACGTTCCAGGGGCCGACTACCTGTCCGACGCCATGCACCCCCGATGGTTCGTTCCTGGAGGCTCCTTCGCACGAGAAAGGAGAAGAGGCCGTGCTTGTGTCAACAACAACCTGGGTGGGAAACCAGTAGGCTCTCCCGTCAGCCGGAACGGGATGCGTAGCTGCTCGGCCATTTCTTCCACCACCGGGAGGACAATGAAGTTGAGGGCGTGCATTATGCTTTCTTCTGAGGCAACGAGCAAGTGATTGCGCTCCCTAAAAAAGGTCGATAGCCGCTTCTCCGTGTTGTCCAGCCCATTGATGAAGGCCCCCAAATCCTCTCCAAAATGTGGCCACGGCTCCAATTGGACATGTGTGCTGGAGAAGAAGCCGCTCTCTTCTTCCACTTGCACTGCTTGGTCAACTGGCACATCGCCACCCTCAAAGCCCTAATAAGTGTATAGAGACGTAACTTCGAATTAATGCTATACAATTCAGAGTAAAAGTCGCGGGAAAAGTTAATAAATCATGAGAGAAAAGTTAATAACTCGTAAACAGGAAGCGCAGATCATCCATGGTGAGCCGGTTCCGTCGATTGTTCCTCCCCCCACTGTCTCCAAATGCCGACGAAACCATTTGCTTCTTTTGTTCCTGTGCAAATAGAACACAGTCACAGTGATCTTGATGTCTACAGAGAGAAAGAGCTTTCTGGTACCTGCAAAGCTAGGATCCGGTCCTCAATGGTTTTCTTCACAGTGAACCTCGTGACGTGAACGTCCCGGGTCTGTCCGATGCGATGAGCTCGATCGATGGCCTGATCCTCCACCGTGGGATTCCACCACACGTCGAGAAGAAGGACATGGCACGCAGCTACCATGTTGAGGCCCAAGCTTCCAACTTTAAGGCCCATGAGCATCACAGACACCTCCAAGAGAAAACCAAAAAAGAAAAAGAGAGATTAGAATATGGAAAAACAGATGCTACGAGTGTACCTCGGGCTTTTCGTTGAATTCGCAAACTGCTGCGTCCCGCTCCATGACCGACATTGTGCCGTCGAGCCTTCTGAATTCCAAGCCGGCCTTTTCTAGACGAGGCTCGACCAGATCAAGCAAACTTGTCCACTGCGAGAAGACGAGAGCTTTCTCGGTAACAGCTTTCTTCCCGGCTGCTGCAGGACTCGTCACGGGAAGATTCATCAGGCGCTCCATGACGGCATTGATCTTTGAGGACGACTCATATCCTCCGTTGGAATCCAAGGACATGAAGCTAGACAGCAAAGAGCTCTCTAGTGTGCAAGAGCAGCCTGGAGCGGGACACTTGACCGCCAATTCCTCGCTTGTCAGCAATTTCTCTGAGATGCACTGGGAGCAAAAGACGTGACCACAGCAGCTAAGAAAAGGCTGTTCGGGAGCATCCTGACAGTGTCAAACTAAACGTCAGTAACGAAACAACTGCGTTTACCACTTACTTCACATATTGTGCATATGGATACGTTTTCCTTTGCATCGATGTTTGACTCTTCATCTTCGATTTTTGACTCTTTATCTTCCGGAACAAGGGACCGATGGCAGCATGCTTGTCTCAGGCGCAGGAGCAAAACCATGATGTTCGCGTAGTTTTTTTGAACAGTCCCACGTCGTTGGTAGCTCTGGAACAAAAGCAAAATAAAAAGTTTAGAACTCAGGAATGAACATAATACCTGAAACTTATCGCGTGAGCGCTGCTCCAAACTGTCGTAGAACTCGCGTTCCTCTTTGCTGAAATCCGCCTGTAGCATGGTCACATGCTTTTCAGGTAGCTGGAGAATGGGCTTTCCGTCAATGACAGTTTCTGTAAAATCAAAACTTTGGCCCCGGCAATCTTAAGTCAAAAGATTGAGAACTTGCCTTTTGTTCGACGAAGCATAATCACCTGGAGTATCATCTGTAGCTTTGCATATCCTGTGCTCGGATCTCGGGAGATTGGTTCTTTCACCTTTATCTTGAAGGTTGAGTATGAATCCAGCGGGTCGAAGCGCAAGAATCGAAAGTAGCTGAAGAGGTCGTCGATGGTATTCTGAAGTGGTGTACCCGACAAACACCATCGTCTGTCGGCTTTCAGTCCCCAGCAAGCGTACGCTGCTAGTGTTTTTGCATTTTTTATCGTCTGTGCCTCGTCCAACACCACTCGAAACCATTTGACTTCGGCTAGAGGTCCTGCCCCACGAGTCGGGGTCCTTTTCTTCGTCTTCTTATTTGAAAATGCTTGCGAACAGCTGCTGCCATAGTCTGCATACGTTTCCTCATCTGCTTCTATCTCCTCATCTGGCTTAGGCACCTCATTTGTTACAATTGAGTACGTGGTTAGCACAACGTCATATTTGGCTAACTCGTAGGGACACCTCTTCCTGTTACCGCCGTGATAAATATGTGTTGAAAGCCTTGCCGCCGCTGTAACTTTTTCCTCGATCTCATGATACCACTGTCTCAAAACGCTTGTCGGGCATACGACAAGAGTGCCACCCCTTCTTTTTGGCTCCGGCTTCTGCATAAGCTCAGGTTTGATCTCAGGTTTAATCTCAGGTTTAATGGCTTGTGTTTCCGGATTGAGCAGGTGAATTGGCGACCGAGCTTTGAGAATAAGAGCTATCGTAGACACTGTTTTGCCAAGACCCTAGAGACAACGACAAGGAGATTGTTCAACCAATATGACATACAAAAGGCTCACCTGGTCATCTGCTAGAAAGCCACCAGAACAATTTCCACGCTCCTCGCTCTTCACCATCCAAGCTAAAGCTATTCTCTACAAAGATCGCTTTAAACCCGTGAAACATAGAAGATTTTGAAGTATACCTGATGTTTCAAAAGATTGATAGTCATCATTCCCTCATCTAGAGTGGCCTCTTCGTTTGTATCAGGAGTGATCATTCTCTGTGGGAAAAGAAAATGTAAACATCCAAATAGCAGTCAGTGCAAGTGTACCTCCAAGATCCGGCGAAGACATTTGTCTACGTGCACCGGTTGAGCAGCTTGATTTGGAGTTGTGTTTGTGCTCGTGTTGTGAACTGGTTCTTCCTTCTTTGGAGTTGCTTGACTCGAAGGCTCCTTCTTTGGGCCTGCATGGACACGCGAACCCGACAACGACGGCCGATCAAACCTTCTACCAGTTGGCAAAACTTCTTCCTTGTTTGGAGGAGCTGTCCAGCGGCAAGACGAAGTTGCTATGCTGGCTTGACCATTCCGGCGAACCACGGGCACCGGTTGAGCAGGCTGATTTGGAGTTGTGTTTGTGCTCGTGTTCTGAACTGGTTCTTCCTTCTTCTTTGGGCCTGCATGGACAGACGAACCCGACGAAGCCGGCTGATAAAACCTTCTGCCCATCAGCAAAACTTCTTCCATCTTTGGAGCAACTCCCCAGCCGTAAGACGAAGTTGCTCCATTCCAGGCAGCTGTTTGAGCATAGCTCCCCGGAGGCTCTTCCTTCTTTACACCCGTACCCCGCCATCCCGGTTCTGAACCCGACGATGCCGGCTTACCAAACCTTCTGTCCATTGGCAAAACCTCTTCCATCTTTGGAGCAACTATCCAGCCGTAAGACGATGTTGCTGCATTCCAGGCAGCTGTTTGAGCATAGCTCCCGGGAGGCTCTTTCTTCTTTACACCCGTACCACGCCATCCCGGTTCTTCCTTCACTGCGACTGTCTCCCGACGGCCTCGAGGTGTGAAGCTCAATGGCAGCTTGCGCTTCTCACCTAGTATAGACGTCTCCCCATTACTCTCCTCATCACTGATATCAATGACTTCCGATCTAGCGCCCTTGCCATGAGGCCACCACGACCGCTTGCATTCCGGAGTCTTCAAGGTCAAATCATCTGCTTCATGAGTGCGGGTTTCAATTGCTCCAACAGCTTTGTTCTTTGAATTGCCACTGTTAACTTGCACCTGGTTAGCAGCCGTCCCTGGTTTACTTTCGCGACCCGTGCTCCACTTCTCGCTTACGATCCACAGTTCATCGTCCTCTTCATCACGAGGGGGAAAAGAACGCCTTTCGCCACCTCTACTTGTACCAACAACCTGTAGAACATCAGTTAGACAAACAGTTAACGACGTAAGAGAAAAGAAAAAAAGTTACTAACATTGTCAGGAGTTTTGAGATCATCGCATCCAGTCATATCTGCGTCGACGAAGCGCGAGTTCGTATCTTGAGGCGATGCCTTCTCTGTTACAGATGTATCAGCTTGAGTCGAAGTCGTCTTCACGAAACCCTCTCCAGGTGGAGCAGCGTCGGCAGTCACTCTCCCATGAACGTCCCTTATGTCGCTCCAAGTGATGGCCGAGTGGACCTTAAGCCCACTCTTGCGTAGATTCTCGGCACCACCTTCTTCTCTATCGACCAGGATCACCACGTCCGAGACCTTGAGCCCAGCACCACTGAGAAGCTCCACAGTTTCGGCCACCGGAGCCCCGATAGCAAGTAGATCATCGATCACTAAGCAGGTTTGGCCAGTCTCAAAGGAACCATCAATGCCTCTAGAGTCCGTCACCTCCCTTCTTCTCATCACCATTGGTACCCTGTAAACGAGTGCGAAGCACACTGCGATCGGCCCGGCCGTGTGTGACGCAGCGCAAACGACATCGAACGTCGCACGCTCGGCTACGGCAGACCATAGCGCAGCGATAACCCGGTGTAGCAAATCAGGGTACGAGCAAATCACTCCAAGATCGATGTCGATCGGGCTGTCGAGCTTACCGAACTTAAGCGCCTGCGCCTTGACGAGCGCCACGATCAGCGCCTCCGCCTCCCCTCGCATCGCCCCAAAACCACCGTAGAACCCTAGAATTTTTTTCGAGAAAGTATTTTGGGCGGGAAAATTTCGAAGGAGCAAAAAATCCCTTCAATCAAGGAACCCTAAACATTTCCATGGCAAGAAAGAGGCGAAAGCGCCTGGGCTTCTCCATCCTGTTGCTCGGATCTGGCGTGATCTTCACAGCATTGGCGGCATTCTTCTTCCTTTCCGCCACTCCAGCAAGTAAGCGCCTAGATCTTGCAGGAGAAACAGGGGTTTGCCAACGAGATAGGTACCCGCAATCGATCGATCTTCGCCCCGATCAGCTTACAGTGCTCATGAATGGCTTCTCCGAGGCCAGAATCCACATCCTGGAGCAGCACGCACAGGCGTACTCCGCCTCGCCTGTGGTGGACGCCGTCTACATTCTTTGGGGCAACACGTCCACGCCAGACCAGGTGCTGCTCAACGCCAATCTCGAGAGCTTGGGTGCGCCGATTTACGTCGTCCGCCAGCCTTCCTCCAGCCTCAACAATAGATTTCTTCCAAGGAAGGAGATTTCCACGCAGGCGGTCTTGGTTTGTGACGATGATATCAGCGTGGATCTATCCAGCCTCAAGTTCGCTTTCCAAGTGTGGTCCGAGAATCAAGACAGGATAGTGGGCCTCTTCCCGCGGTCTCACTCTTTCCAGCTGGGTACAAAGTCATGGATCTACACCAAGAGCTCAATCCGGTACTCGATACTCCTGACGAAGTTCATGATCTTGGCGACCGAGAACCTTTACTTGTACTCTTGCTCCATGCCGGCTGGTGTCAAGGAGTACGTGGATGATGCTATCAACTGCGAAGACATCGCTATGAACTTCCTGGTTTCAAGCCGTAGCAAGAAGGGTCCGCTGCTGGTGGAGGGCAGTCCCAGGGACTGGGGCGATCCCAGGAACTCAAACTTGGGATTGGTTAGCGAGGCTTTGAGTGCCAGGAGCGGCCATAGAAAGGATAGGGGCGAATGCATCACTGCCTTCCATCGGCTGTGGGATGGAATGGAGCTAAGGTACAGCTATCTCAAGGCGGTGTCCGACGTGCGAGAACGAGCAATGTGTGACCAGGCGGGGACATTGATGGAGTGTGACCGGGTCGGGGTGGAAGTTACGTAGATCGTGTGGCACTCAAAACGCTCCTCGTCTGGAACAAGCCAATACACGTAAGCTTTCTGCATAGAAAGTTTCACTTCTTTCTTTCAGGGACTGACTGCGTGACTTCGATGTTATGCCAGGTGGTCGAGTTTCAAGCTCGTCCTGTTTCCGCCACAGACGTGCACTGTGAAGCAGGTTGACAGAGCTGGAAAAAGTGAGTCGACGGTGAGTCTTTTTTACTCTTGCGCGTTGTCTTAACTTTGGTTCCTCTTGGATACAGTTCCGAGAAAGCAAGAACGAGACGAGCAGCAAAGAAAATTAGTGCCGCAGAATCCAAGCTAAAAGCAATTGATCCCCCAGGAAAGGAGCTTATGAAATCTGGACGACAACCATATCAGTCCCGTGGCTACTGCTTTTCCGAGGGTCGAGAACCTCCATGAAAAACTCACCTTCTAATTCTTGGTAACCACACGAGCGAGGTTCCCGAGCAATGTAAACCTCTAGAAAATCTAGGCATATTTCCGAGAGCTTTATCTCGTGGATTCTCTTGTCGTTCCTGACAAACTGCATAACTTCCAGGCTCGAGTTTTCGCGGGGCTGCCAGATCCCATCCGACGCAAAGATCAGAAACTCGTCCCCTTCGCCAACTTCTACCTCCTCGATCTCCGGGACAGCAACAATCATCTGTTCTTCAGCCGAGACTTCTCTGTTGTCCTTGAAGATAAAGTCGCCCAGGCTCTGGAGAGATTGTAAACACCTCGGACATTCATCACGTCTCCACCACAGTGATCCTCCTGCTCTCCGACTCCAGCTCTAGCTTATGAACTCTTGGAGCTCATGGAGCGCATGGCGGACGTCGCGACGTCAGAGGAGCTTCTCAAACCTGCCGATGCTGTGAGTTCGTTTTCTCCTTCTTGCTTTCTTTGTCACTGAATCCAAGTTTTGTGATGTTTATACAGGTCGGGCCTGAGACATGCGTGCTCAAGACGCGCGTTGATGTGTGCTCTTGGGATTTTAGCGAGGAGCTCACAGTCAAGCTTCGTGCGGTGAGTCTATTGTTTCTTCCTTCTCGTGCGTAGCTCAGAGTGATGACGGAGTGGAGCCTCAACCCATGCTTGCGGCCGCCACCTTGCTCTCTAGCGATCGGTGAGAGGCTCCGAACGCGGCACCGGGGGACCAGAGCGCGGCGGAGACCTGGCGGAGCAAATCAGGGTAGGAGACGATCACCCGGAGATCGATGTAGATTGGCGACATGATGCAGCTCTGTACGTTTTCGAAGAGCAGCCGTTGGACCTGAACAGAAGGACATGCAAGAAAAGAACTCACAAAAGCATATAGATACCGTGAAGAGTTGGCTGGACGATCGCCACGACCTCGAGTTCCTTCCCCGAATCACATTCCCAGAACATTTCGTCTCAGTTAGAGAACAAACAGAGAACAAAAGACGTGTCGAGATGGCTTCCTGCTCTCGGATCGAAGATACGCAGAACCAATCTGCCGTGAGGACCCTGGATTTGAGCTGGAATCCTAGCCTCGAGCAGAGCTCCCTTGTCTCCAATCGCAGCCACCTTGGAGAATTTGGGGAGCACCAGGGTGTTGATCAGCGGCTGGTCTGTGCGGAACGACATCGGGTGGAGCTCCGGCATTCCAACCAGCACAACAAGAGGAGTAGGCCAATATTTCGAGCTGAACTGAGGAAGGGCTGGATCCTGGTGCTGGATCTCTTGTACACGTTCCAATCCAAGTCATGCAAGGTTTGGAGGTTTGCATGGAGGTTTGGAGCAACAACATTACAGCCTATTGTGCTTTAGTTGGTCGTGGTAGTGGGATGTCCTAGTCGATCTGGTACGTTATTTCGTTTCACTTGCATTGTAATAGATTAATAGAACTTCTGTTTTTCTTTTATCTCTTATTTTCAGCCTAAAAGGAAGTTCAACATTTTGTCATGCCGCTAAGCAAATATGGCGAAACAAGCCCAAGAAAACCCAGTTAATGGACTTGCTCTAAAATGTTCTGCAAGATCTCTACAACACTCTCGCCTTGCATTCTATCTTTGTTGTCTAAAACATACAGGTTACCAAAGTTACCAAGGTAAAAAATTCTGTGCATGGTGCAATCTTCTATAATGTCTAACAGTTTTTCGTTGTGATCAATGGAATCAACATTTTTCTCTTGATCATTGTTGCTAAATTTGTATTCACAAGTGTTCTACAGGCTTATGACATCAATGTTTTGCCCAATCACAACATTAACTATTGGTGGCGTGGTAGTTAGTGTTATAATTTTACATCAATGTTGTAAACCTTTTGGAGCACTTGTGAATACAAACTTGACAACAATGATATACATTGTATAATCTTCCACAATGTCCAATAACTCCTCATCCTCATTAATTTTGAGAGTATTTTTCTTTTCAAATTTTCTTACCTTAGTAACTTTAGTAACTTGTATGTCTTAGACAACAAACATGGGATGCAAGGCAAAAAGTGTCACAAAAATCCCATAAAACATTTTGGAGCAGATCCACTAATTGGGTTTTCCTGAGCTTATTTTATCATATTCATTTATTCATTTAGTAGCAAAATGACAGAATGTTTAACTTCTTTTTGGGCTGAAAATGAAGAAGAAAAAAATGCCCCACGCCCTAGAGACAAGATTCTGGCGAGGCTCGCATCTCCCATATCTCGACGAGGAGATTCCCGGGTTTCTAGCAGCGACCTTCGATCCCATCGCCAATAGCAATGTCCTGGACAATCCTCATCGCGGCATTTGCCCGGAATGGGCAATCCGTGCAAGCGATGATAGCGTTCCGGCGGATGGATCTGGAAGCTGCCCTGGGCATTGGATCTTCACCAGCGAATCCTCGCATCGATCGATTTCGATCTTGTGCATGCTGGGGAAGGAATTCCTGGCAAAAATCGAGAGCAAGCGCGTTGAATGCCATGCTTGCTGCGTATGCCCGCAATGCCTGGATCTCTTCCAAGAGCTCGTGGAGCTCGATCAGGTTTTGCCGGACGCTGCGACGATCGCCACTGCGCTCTCGGCGTGCTGCGATCCCAAGTTCTTGGATCTGGGAAGGCAATCTACGCGATTGCTGGCGACCAGATGGATCGATCCACCGTGCTGTGAGAATGTACGCCCACTGCCAGAGCTTCGACGATTCCATGGCGGCATTCGAGGAGATCACTGACAAGAACGCCGTGTCGTGGTCGATCGCGATGGCGGCACTCGTCCAGGTCGGGTGATCCGGCGTACGATCATCTAACGCCGATGGGCGAATCTACGAACAAGACGTTTGATGCTATGAGGTATAGGGTTTAGAAGGAAGAAATGCGGGAGGAGGCGGCGGCGCTGGTCCTTGCGCTCGCCGACGCGGAGGCGGTGAAATTCGGCGAGTTCAAGCTCAAGAGTGGCATCATCTCGCCAATCTACATCGATCTCCGGGTGATCGTCTCCTACCCTGATTTGCTCCGCCAGGTCTCCGCCGCGCTCTGGTCCGCCGCCGCCGCCCCCGCCGCCCCGTTCGACCTCATCTGCGGCGTCCCCTACACCGCGCTGCCCATCGCGACGTGCATCTCCCTCGCGCACAATGTGCCAATGGTGATGCGCCGCAAGGAGGTCAAGGACTATGGCACCCGCAAGGCGATCGAGGGCTTCTTCTCCAGCGGCCAGTCGTGCCTGGTGATCGAGGATCTAGTGACGAGCGGCGCATCGGTGCTCGAGACCGTGGAGCCTCTCACCGCCGCCGGGCTTAAGGTCTCGGACGTGGTGGTGTTGATCGATAGAGAGCAGGGTGGCGGCGACAACCTTCGCAAGCACGGATTGAGGCTCCACTCCGCCATCACTCTGAGCTACGCGGTGGATGTTCTGGTGAAGCATGGGAGAGTGAGCGAGGAGGTGGCGGCGTCCGTGAAGAGCTTTGTTCGATCTAACAGGGCGGAGCTTCCTTCAACCCCTCCTGGAGCTTCTTCTCTTGTCGCCGCCAAGAAGCCAAAGAGGTTGGCGTATGGAGAAAGGGCCGTGCTCGCGCAGAATGCTGCTGGGAAGAAACTCTTGGAGCTCATGGAGCGGAAGAAGACTAACTTGAGTGTTGCGGCGGACGTCGCGACGTCCGAGGAGCTTCTCAAGCTTGCCGACGCTGTGAGTTCGTTTTGTCTTTCTTTTTTTTTGTTTGTCACTGAATCCAAGGTTTGTGATGGTCATACAGGTCGGGCCCGAGATATGCGTGCTCAAGACGCACGTTGATGTGCTCTCGGATTTTAGCGAGGAGCTCACAGTCAAGCTTCGTGCGGTGAGTCTATTGCTTCTTCTTTCTCGTGTCCTTTTGGCCTCTGATATACAAAATGTGTGTTTGCAGATTGCGGAGAAGCACGATTTTATGATCTTTGAAGACCGGAAGTTTGCTGATATCGGCAACACGGTTTGTATGCAGTACGAGGGGTAAGATACAATCCTTTTACTTCAGATGTTTTTGTACTCAAAGCAGAGTTTTTCTTTGTAGGGGTCCGTTTAAGATTGTGGACTGGTCGGATATCACAAACGCGCACGTAGTGCCTGGCCCTGGAATCATTGACGGCCTCAAGCTCAAGGTTTAGAAGTCCCAAAAAGTTTCAAGCATTCATGGTAAACTCTACGTCTTTTGTTGGCTATAGGGACTGGCGAAGGGGCGGGGTTTGCTGCTACTGGCCGAGATGAGCTCCAAAGGAACTCTAGCACAGGGCGAGTACACAGCAGCAGCAGAAAAAATGGCTGCGGACAATCCAGACTTCGTCATGGGATTCATCTCCATAAATCCTGCTGCGTGGGCTCAAGCTGCGGATCCCGGATTCATCCACATGACTCCCGGAGTGCAGATGAGCGCCGGGGGCGATGATCTTGGCCAGCAGTACAACACTCCTGAAAATGTAAGGGTTTTCTTCTGTTTGCTCGTTCGTTTCTTGTGTTTTGTTCGTCCGTTTCTTCTCTTTGCTCGATCGTTTCTTCTCTTTGCTCGTTCGGTTCTTCTCTTTGCTCGTTTGTTTCTTCTCTTTTGTATCTTGATTTGCTAATCTTCCTGTGGATGTTATAGGTGATTGCTGACCGACAGAGTGATATAATCATCGTTGGAAGAGGAATTATCAAGGCCAAAAATCCTGCCTTGGCCTCTCGCGACTATAGAAACGCTGGGTGGCAAGCGTACCTGAAAAGCATCGCCGCTGCGTAGAAGAAAAAAGAATAGCAGGCGAAACTTTGGTTGTAGTTGATTTGTCCTATGCTGCTCAATGCAAAGAATTTGATCCAAGCATATACCACGTCCCTTGGCTTTGTTTTGCCATGCTATTTCCTTGAAATAATGCTTGGACCTTATGTCGTGAACTAAAGTTATAACCATTTGGTTGTGTGCGAGGGACAGGGCTTAGGGTTTGGCCGCTCGTTCTTTCGTGTTCTCGGACCAATGGCCGCGGCGGCAGCAGCGACAGCGAGCTTCGTCCAGGCGCCAGTGAGCGCCAAGCACTCCGGCGGATCTCCTTCCCTTTCCAGCAGGTAATTCGGCTCTTCGTCTCGCGAAATCGATGGATCTGTGTGTTGTCTGTGTGTCTCCTGCCAGGCCCGCATTCCAGAGCTTCATCGGCATGAAATCCAGTGGAGAATGCCGGCAGGCCGCATTCTTCCGCGGCGACATGCACGATATTTCGCTGAGGAATCACAAGCCCCTTGTGACTGTCGCTGCCAGGAACGCCGATGTTCGCCCCAGAGCTGCCGCGACGTACAAGGCGGCCGTGCTGGGAGCTGGTGGAGGAATCGGGCAGCCGCTCTCTCTGCTGCTTAAGATGTCGCCGCTGCTCTCGCATCTAAACCTCTACGATATTGCCAACGTCAAGGGCGTGGCTGCAGATTTGAGTCACTGTAACACACCATCACTGGTACGAGGTTTCTGCGCGTTCTCTTCGAAAAAAAACTAACTTTTTTCCTAGGTGACGCCTTACACTGGAGCTGAGGAGCTCGCGGAGTCACTCAAGGGTGTAGATCTTATCATCATTCCTGCTGGAGTTCCTCGAAAGCCAGGAATGACGAGAGACGATCTTTTCAACATCAACGCTGGTATTGTGAAGACACTTGTCGAGGCAGCAGCAGATTACGCACCCAAGGTTCGTCTTTTTTCTCTAGAAAAGGATGGAATGTACTGAATACCTTGTGGCAGGCTTGGATCAACATTATCAGCAATCCCGTGAACTCGACCGTGCCCATAGCTGCTGAGGTTCTTAAAAAGAAGGGAGTGTTCGATCCAAAGAAGCTCTTTGGTGTGACGACTCTCGACGTTGTGCGGGCAAACACTTTTGTAGCTCAGCAGAAGACTCTGAGGCTCATTGATGTGGATGTTCCGGTCGTGGGTGGACATGCCGGGATCACCATTCTTCCGCTGCTGTCCAAGACACGCCCCAAAACCGAGTTCACGCAAGAGGAGATCGAGAAGCTGACAGTGAGGATTCAAAACGCTGGCACAGAAGTAGTCGAGGTAACTGAGAATTTCTTCCCGCACTTGGAGATTTGACGAGTATTTTTTCGCGTTTTTCGTTTCGAACAGGCAAAGGCTGGAGCAGGCTCTGCGACTTTGTCGATGGTACTTGTTTTTCTTTTTAAGTCTTTCAGCGCTTTACTCTCTTTTGTTCTAGGCCTACGCTGCTGCTCGCTTTGCGGAGTCTTGCCTTCGTGCAATTGACGGCGACGCTGATGTCTACGAGTGCACTTACGTCAAGTCGGATGTAAGCATTTGAAACTTTTGGGACTCTGGTGTTAAAACCTCTTGTTCCTTGGATCTTTCCAGGTGATGCAAGAGCTCCCCTTCTTCGCGTCGCGAGTGAAGCTGGGCAAGGATGGAGTGGAGGCATTCGTCCACACGGACATCCGGGGCCTGACAGAGTACGAGGAGAAAGCTCTCCAGGCTTTGATTCCAGAGCTCAAGGGCAGCATCGAGAAGGGAATTAATTTCGTTAACAAGCAACCAGCCGCGGCATCCGTGTAGGAACCATTCGAGGCAAAGTTTTGACAGATTTTTGGCAGACATTTGATAAAGAATAAATTCGATATGCTAAACCTTTGATATTAGAATATGCTTGACTGATTCTCAGCTTTGATATTAGGAATATGCTTTGATATACTCAAATAGGGTTAGGGTTTAGGGAGGATGAGCAAGAATAAGAATTTCCGGAAGCGTGGCGATGGCGAAGCAGGCGACGATGATCCGGTCGACCAGAAGCTCCTCAAGGAGAAGATTCCGGCGTCCAAGCCTGGGAGGAAGCAGCTGCTGAGCTTTGCGGAGGAGGCGGCGGAGGAGGCCGATGATCCATCGCCCGGCATCGCGGCCACGGCAGGGAAGAGGAATGCTGTGAGAGGTAAGCCTCCCAGGAAGCCCGCTTCCTCCTCTACATTGCTGAGCTTCGATGGGGAGGATGGAAATTCATCTCGGGGCCGCAAGAGATCAGGGTATGGGCCTAGCCATGGCTCGGGGCACGCAATGGGGGCGGGCAAGGATAAAGCTCAAGCCGTGTCCAATGTTTTGCCTCAAGCTGGGGAGTACACTCCCGAGAGGCTCCAGGAGCTCCAGAAGAACACGATCCGGCTGGGTGGTGCCAAGCCGGTTTTGCCTGTGGAATCGAAGCCTCCTCCGGCCGAGCCTCTCGTGATCCTCAAGGGAGTTTTGAAGCCTGTCCTTCACGAAGATGGTGAGAGTAGCGTACTTGTGAGTAGCAGCAACGAGTTGCCGGTGGTTCCGCCAGAGGATGGTGTGGATGCCGTGATGGAAGCTGCTTTCGGTGGTGTTAACGGGCTGATTCCTGACGCTGCTGCCATCGCCGCGGCCAAGGCACAGCGGGAACGGAAGAGGATTGCTCACAGTGCTCCGGATTATATCCCTGTTGGATCGTCCAGCGATGCCGACTTTCGGTCGAGGATTCGTGACGCTCCGGAGGTGGTGTCGAAGAAAGACGAGCCTGTTTCTAGCGACGACGAGGCCGAGGAAGTTCGAGGGAGGCTCACTTTTATTGGCCACAAGGACAATGGAAAGAAAGCTGGCGTGTTTGATTTCGTCGAGAACGTCGAAGAAGAAGACGAGGAGAAGATGTGGGAGGAAGAGCAGCTGAAGAAAGGGGTTGGGAAGAGAGTTGAGGATCCTTCCAGCAGAGGTGTTCCACTCTTGCCCGGTGGTGCTTATGGTCAGGTTCCAAGCAGGCCGCTTGTAGCGCATCCGACGTTTACATTGGATCAGCAGGCAGAGTCAGCCATGCTCGCCTTGCAGCAAGGCTTAAAGCGGCTACAGGAATCTCACGCAAAGACGCAGTCCGATCTTTACTCGGTGGAACAGAACTTAACTTCTTCTGCTGCTAGTATCACGATGCTAGAAGAAAAGTTCTCGTCGGCTGGGAAGAAGTACATCTACATGCAACAACTGAGAGACTTTGTGTCAACACTATGCGCGTTTTTACAGGTATGTACTGTTTTTCTTTTGTCGTGCATGTATTTACGCTGCTTCTCAGGCCAAGAGTCCGTTGATTGAAGAACTTGAGGAGCACATGCAAAAGCTTCATGAGGAACGTGCGGATGCAGTATTTCAACGACGGATACTGGATGGTGCTGATGAGAAAGTGCAACTTGACTCGGCTATTGAAGCGGCTATGGCTGTCTTGACCCGAGGTGGCAGCATACAGACAGCGTCGGCTCATGCCTCCTCTGCTACGCAGGCCGCTGCGGCTGCAGCTTTAAATGACATTGCTCCGGAACTGGACGAGTTTGGAAGGGACACGAGCCTCCAAAAGCGCATGGAAATGAAGTCGAGAGCCAGTGCAAGGAAGCGCCGGATATCTCGGGTTCTTGCCAAGACCTCCTCAGAGGAGTGTTCCAGTGACGAGAGCGACAACGAAATGGCTTTCGGTTCTGGTCGGGATGAAACTTTGGAGACTGCGGAGAGAATTTTCAGCGACGCGTCTGAAGAATACTCCCAACTCGAGATGGTAAAGAACAGGCTGACAGAGTGGCATCGAGAGTATCCAGCGGCCTACACGGATGCTTATGTCTCGCTCAGTGCTCCTGCCATATTTGCACCGTTTGTTCGACTGGAGCTTCTCAAATGGGATCCTCTTCGTGACAGTGCAGGATTTGAGAGTATGAAATGGTAAGGTAATTTTTGTGTGGTGTTCTGGTCGCTGAAACGATTTTCTTTGGTTCCAGGCATTCTCTCCTTTGCGAGTACGATGACTCCGACTTGGTGCCAAGTTTGGTAGAGAGGGTGGCGCTCCCATTATTGCATCATTACATTGGACACTGCTGGGACCGATTGAGTACGACTCAAACAAGAAACGCCGTTGCTGCCGTCCAGGAGATTTCGGTGTACGTGCCAGCAACCAGCGACGCTTTCATTGATTTGGTCGCACTAGTCCGAAGCAGGATTGCAGCAGCTGTCTCCGAAGTGGAGGTAATAATTGGTTTTCGTACTGTGGACGATCTAACCGTGACCTCGAAAAACATTCAGGTTCCTACTTGGAGTGCTCAACTTACAACGGCCGTGGAACAGGCTGCCGAGATTGCGGAGTATCGGTTCAGGCTTTCTATCAAACTGCTACGGAACATCGGACTTTGGAAGAATGTTTTGTCCCTGTCTAAGCTGAACCAGCTGGGACTAGAGGAGCTCTTGAACGGAAGAATTCTTCCACACCTCCGCGTGCTTGCGCCTGAAGACGCTGTCGCGAGAACCGAGACGGTGCTTGTGGCTCTACACGGTACGTGGATCAGCAGTGGCGTTAAAGACATGTGGTATGTATACTATTACCTTTTCTTCTTCCACTTTTTCCGTGTAGCTAACTTTATGCCTATCTATCTTCTTTTTCTTGACGCAGTCCTGAGCTTGGTGCGTTTATCCAGCACGTAATTAGCCTGGGACGGACGCTGGAGAAGCTGAAGAAGCGCGATGTGGCGGCCCTCGCTCAGGCCGTCCGGAAGATGCTACTCTCTCTAAACCAGCACGAGAAGGCCCGAGAACTTGCGAGAGTTTTCCAGCTCAAGGAGCCCGCTGTGTAAGTAAGTGGATTTGACAAGGAAGCTCTCGTTTGTAGTAACAGTGGCCAGGCTTTTGGTTTGCAGAAGCTGATACAGAGCTTGGATAGAGATCGATACCCAAGCTCTTGTGTAAATCTCGTCAGTTCTTCGTGGTAAGGAGCAAGAATTCTTTCGTTTTTCCATTTTTCTTTTCCTTGTGGAGCTGGACCAAGAGCTTTTCCAGGGCCGAAGGGAAACAATGCTCGCCTCGATCGACGCGATAGCGTGAAACAAAGTAATGCGTCAGACGACAACGATGCTGGATCCAACGGCTGTGCGAGGGCCACGTGCTGGCGTGACTAGATTCTGATGCTTTGGATCTGCGGCTGGCAATTTTTTGCTGGGAGACCATTTTGTTTGTTTTTGTTTTTAGATCCTCTCGGCCACTGCTTCGCGCAGGAAAGGAAAAAAAGGAAAAGGGAAAGAAGGGTCTTGGATCGATTCGGAAGCGCTCGCCCAGGTATCACTGTTTCGACGGCATTCTTTGCGCGATCGATTGATCGATCGGTCAAGGGTATGGAATGAGACGCGCGGGTTTTGCGTCATCGAATTCGCGAGGTATGTGTGTTTCATCCATTAGGTTTTCATCGATTGAGGGCTTTTGATTGTTTGCTTTCTCTGTGATGATTTCCTCGCTTCCGCTTTTTCCTGTTGCCTTGGTCTTTTTCCTTTTTTTTCTTTTTACTCTTTAATTTTATTTTCTGGCATCTTTGTAAGTTACGTATGACTGGATTTTATTTTTCAAAATGCCAACACAAAATATGTTGTCAGCGGCAGCTACGCAGCTGTTTGCGTGACTGTCTTCTCGCTCTTGACGAAACTTAGCTCGTGGTCTCTTTGTTCGTTTTTTTTTCTTTTTTCTTTCTATTTGTAAAGGGCCTCTTCTTCTTGTGATGGATCCTCGCGATTAATTTCTCTTGTTTCCTCTTTGCAGGTGATATGGATATGGACGCTCAGCACACCACCACCGCCGAGATGAACGAGAAGCAAAAGTCCCGACTCTACCCCGCCTCTGGAGGCCTGTCGCAGTTCTTCCGCGACACCGAGGACGAGGAGATGGAATCGCCACCGCAGTTTATGAGGGACAAGTGGAAGAAGCTGGTCCTAAAGCACAGCGCCGTCTTCGAGGCTCACGAGCTCGTCGGCGACTCCAAGTGGCAAGACATCCCCATGGAGCTCCTGGTGCGGATACTAGCGCTGGTCGACCACCGCACGGTTTTGGTGGCCTCTGGCGTGTGCACTGGCTGGCGAGATGCCTTGTCTCTTGGCATCCTGGAGCTTTCATTCTCTTGGTAAGCTCGCTTTCTCTTTTTTGCATTTTTTTCTTCAACTCTTGCGTAGTGTTAACGTATGCAAATCCTTGGGGTTCTCACTTTGTTTTTTATTTTCGTGTTCTTTATCCACAGGTGTGGGAAGAGTGTGAGCATGCTTGTACAATCCGTGGCCTACAAGTTCTACCGCTTGCAGAGCTGCAACTTGCGAAGATGCACACTACTTAACGACCAGGCCGTGCAAGCGATCGCGCGGCACTGCCACGATCTGTCGAGCTTGGACTTGTCAAACGGGAGGTCCAGCGGCACCAGGCTGACGGACTTGTCCCTGGTGGCTTTGGCAAACGGTTGCAAGCTGCTCCAGAAGCTCGACCTGAGTGGCTGCATTGGGATTACTGAGGCTGGGCTCGTCCAGTTAGCCGAGAGCTGCCGACAGCTCAAGCACCTGAACCTGTGCGGATGCGACAATGCGGGGTCGGACAACGCTTTGAAGGTAAGTCGACCAAAAGCTTGTTTTTGCTTCCTTTTCTTAACTTCTTCCGGTTCTTCCTGCAGGCTCTCGCGCAGAACTGCGTCGGGCTCCAGATCTTAAATGCCGGCTGGTGCGACAGAATCACTGACGAAGGAATATCGGCAATGGCTATTTGGTGTCCCGACTTGCGAGGAGTCGACCTCTGTGGTTGCCATCTTATCTCAGGTGACTGCCTGACACGGCTTAACCCCGCGTGTCGTTTCTCTGTTTCGGTTCTTATCTTTTTCTGCTTTTGCTTTTCCAGACGTGAGCGTGATTGCACTGGCCGAGAAGTGCCACCGCTTGAGATATCTCGGGCTGCACTGCTGCAGGAACATCACCGATCTGTCCATGTACTCGCTGGTGAACAGCCGAAAGTACCGGGCCCAAGGCAGCAGCGGCAAAAAGAAACTCTCGCCATCCGGGAGTAGCGCTACCGCTCGAAGCACCGTGACGAGGAGCAGCACTGGGAGCTGCAGCACAAGCGGAAGCTCCAGCAACAGCAGCTTCCAGAGCAGCAACGACAGCAGCACCACGACGTCCACCAAGAGCTACGTGCAGTGCATTCTCAGCGACCAGGATGGCTATGGTCTGGTTTCGCTCAACCTGAGCGGCTGCACAGCCTTGTCCGGCCAGGCCGTCCAGGCGGTGTGCGACGCCTTCCCGGCGCTCCACACTTGCCCCGAGAGGCACTCGCTCAACGTAAGTGGATGCACCAATCTCACCTCCGTCCATTGCTCCTGCGTTGTGGATCGTGGTAACAGGTCCGCCATCGCCAGCCGCCTCCAGCAGCAGTGAAAGAAGATGAAGAGGATGGAGAAGCAAAAAATCGCGATGGAATCGCGACCACAAGTTCCACCACGGTGGTTTGTTTGTACATTCAAAGTACGATTTTTATGATAGTGTAAAGTGGTTCATATATATGCAATCGTTTACTTTCTACAACCTTTGGGACGAGGTATCTTTCGTTGTCAAGGCTGAGATTTAATCAAGCAAAGGTGATACGATGTAATATATGTGCCGAGAGTCATTGATTGATGGGCGATCGAATAAATGGACACCCATACCTGCCACGTAAATTCCAACAGCAACTGCCAACGGTCCTCCTCCCTGCCTAGCTGGCCATGTCATAGCCCCGGCGCGCAAGTTTTCACACGGGAAAAAAGTAATGTCCCACGTGCCACGTAATGCACCACTCTGCCACATCATACAGCATGCTGCCACGTCATTATATTCCCACCGTGTAAAATATGTGGTGTTTTGTACTTTGGGCCATGGCCATTACGGACTTGGTGTTCTGGAGCTTTGTAGCCATGGCGTGGGACGCACCACACGGGAGGAGAGAGCTGGGGGCCGCGCGTAGGGTTTTGGGTAGGGTTTCTAGGATTGCCGGCTCGAGGCGCCCGGCGATAGATGAATCGGTGGGCCGGGTCTCGTGAGAATGTCGATCGGGCAGCAATGTCGGATTCTTGCGATCGAGTTCCTGGTCGTGCTCGTCGCGGCCTTCCAGGCGCGAGCTCTCAACGAGGAAGGGATCGCTCTCATGGCCTTTCGAATGCAGATTACGCAGGATCCCACTGGAATTTTCACGAGCTGGAATGCGGCGGATGAGGATCCATGCGGCTGGACTGGGGTCTTCTGCGACGATGACAATCGCGTCAAGAAGCTGCTGATCCATGGCGCCGGCCTCGCAGGTACCATCTCGCCGGCGCTCAGCGGCCTCCCTTTCCTGCGGACGCTCTCCCTCTCCAACAATCTCCTCAAAGGCAGCATTCCCTCGCAGCTCTCGCATATTTCGAGCCTCTGGAAGCTAAATCTCAGCAGCAACGAGCTCGCCGGCACCATCCCGGCCTCCATCGGCAAGATTCCGGGGCTCCGGATGCTCGATCTCTCCTCCAATCTCCTCACGGGCGCGATCCCGCCGCAGCTGTTCGGGAATTGCTCCAAGCTGAGGTTCGTGAGCCTGTCAGGCAATGCGCTTGCTGGGAGCCTGCCAGTGGCTCTGGGCTCTTGCGGATCCTTGAAGTTTGTGGATTTTAGTTCCAACCGGCTCACTGGGAGCGTGCCGGCGGAGATCGCTTTCTTGGACGAGCTGCTTTTGTTGCTTATCCAAGAGAACTCGCTCTCGGGGGATTTTCCATCAGAGGTTCTTTATCTTCCTTCTCTCGATATCCTCAATGGCTCGAAGAATGCTTTCAGCGGTGGGCTCCCGGACAGGCAAGGTGATGATGGGTGTCGATCACTCGAGGTAATGAAGGTCCCATTTGCTGGTGCCAATGTCGTCTTCTACTCTTTTTAATTTCTTTTCTCGAACGCAGGTCCTGGACTTGTCTTACAATAGCTTCGAAGGTCCTATTCCTTCCAACTTCGGAGAGTGTCAGGAATTATCGCTCATCAACTTATCACACAACAGGTTTTCGTCTCCGATTCCCGATGCCATTGGGAAGCTCGCATTCTTGGTCAGCCTGGATCTTAGCAGCAATGCCATGCACGGCAGTATTCCACAAGCTCTAACGCAGGCGAGGTTCTTAATTGAACTGTACGTAGCTCAACGTCTTCCTTCATGTGTTTTTTTCTAAACCATGGTTCTTTGTTCCAGCAAACTTTCCAGCAACGATCTTAGTGGTACCATTCCGCGAAGTCTCAACAACTTGACATTCTTGAAGACACTCCTTCTTGGCCATAACATGCTACAGGGCTCTATTCCCGCCGAGGTTGGAAGGCTAACTCACTTAGAGCGGCTGGATCTCTCTTTCAACAACATTACCGGAAGTATTCCTATCCAACTGGGTGACTTGTCGCATCTGGTGCTCTTCAACGTCTCCTACAACAACTTAACTGGATTCATACCCAGGCGGGGCGTGTTACAGCGTTTTGACAGGAGTTCTTACATTGGCAATACGTTTCTGTGTGGTCCGCCGCTGTCACTGAGGTGCACTCCTATGGTTTGGCCAGGACCAGCATTATCGCCGACGCTCGAAGGTGGTGGGAAAACACACGTCTTGACACCTTACACCATAGCAGCCATCGTCGCCGCAATCCTCGTTGCCTTGGGTGTTTTTATCGTCGTCATCTTGAACATCAAGGTTTTGACGAGGCCAAAGAAGACTCCCGCTGAAGTGCTCGTCTACGAAAGCACTCCGCCTTCTCCAGACTCGAGCACAGGTGTGATCGGCAAGCTCGTCCTCTTCAACCCGAACATCCCGTCCAAGTACGAGAACTGGCAGGAAGGAACCAAAGCTCTTGTAGACAAGGACTGTGTGATCGGGTATGGACCACTGGGGACTGTTTACAAGGCCGTGGTGGATGGCGGAGTGGCACTCGCTGTGAAGAAGCTCTCTAGTCTCGGCCAGATAACCAGCCAGGAGGCCTTCGAGCGGGAAATAGCGATCCTCAAGAACGTAAAGCACAGGAACGTGGTGACGCTGGAAGGATACTACTGGTCTCCTCCAACAAAGCTGCTGCTAACCGAGTACCTCCCCAACGACAGTCTCTTCCATCACTTACACCAGCGCATGGAAGGCCAGCTACCATTGCCTTGGTGGAGACGGTTCAAGATCGCCTTGGGCGCCGCGAGGGGGCTGGCTTACCTTCACCACGACTGCAGGCCACAGGTCCTCCTCTTCAACTTGAAGTCGACCAACATCCTTCTGGACGACGAGTTTGAGCCTCACATCTCGGACTATGGCCTGCGGAGGCTTTTGCCGAAGCTGGACACGTACATGACCGACCGGAAGCTGGAGCTGGCGGTGGGATACGTTGCGCCGGAGATGGCAGTCCAGAACCTGAGGCTGACGGACAAATGCGACGTCTACAGCTTTGGGGTGGTGCTGCTGGAGCTGGTCACCGGGAGGAGGCCCGTGCAAAACTTGGAGACGGACGCGGTGGTGCTGTGCGAGTATGCCAAGGCGGCGTTCGAGCAGGGGCGGGGCTTGCAGTGCCTGGACCATGAGATGAGCTCGTTTCCAGAGGCCGAGATCATGCAGGTTTTCAGGATCGGGCTGCTGTGCACTGCGCAGGATCCGAGCAGGAGGCCGTCCATGGCTGCCGTTGTCCAGATGATGGAGATGCTGTCAATGTGAGTTTGTTCATACAGGATCGATCGACCGAGCCTCTATATACATAAAAACTGGCAATGCAAACGCAAGAACTTGCGGTAAGATTGATTGTTTTTCTTTCTTTTTTCTCTCTGCAGGAATATGTACATTCATTGTTTTGCAAAATTTGTGAAAATTCAAAACACAATCAAATTTTTGTTTAAAACATTAACCACTTTGACAACTATAATACTCTTTTTTTGTGTTATAATAATTTTCATTTTTTGATGTAAGAAAGATTATAAAATAATGTTAATTTTTTATTATTTTTCAATGTAATTGATGTTATTATAAATTTTTATTTTATAGATTATTATTCTAACCGATGGGTTATTCCCTTCTATTTTGGCCATGCTAAAAAAATAATTGAAGAATTTATATGGCTAATAAACTGTGCTAACTAATACTTAAAAGGGTTAGTTATTAGTTAGCCATAGAAAAAAATCCCAAATGTGAGACTAGGAGTTATTGAGCTGGCATTAGTTCACAAAGTTTGGCAGCAGATTCTTGACTCAATATTCAAAGCACGGATATTCTCATTTGTCCGTAATTATATGATGCAAAACTTAAGCCATGAACATGACTTTCAGAGTCTAGTGACGTAAAGAAAAGATTTTTTTTGCTTGGCCAAACTCTCGCTATTCACGGGTGGTATTTCTTTGCGTGTGGTCGACAAACTCTTTCACCTTCACTAATATCTCTAGACTATATAAATCCTCAAAGAAACTCACAGAAATATATTACAGCATACACAGTTCCAATGGCAAGCTCTACTGCCATCCTAGTTGCTCTTGTTGCTCTAGGCCATTGTTTTGCAGCAATCCCACTCGCAGCAGCCACTTCCTTCAACGTTGTCAATAGCTGCGGAGGCTCGCAGAACATTGTCGTCCGCGAGAACCCCGGCCCCTCGATCGGAACCTCCGGATTCACTCTCGCCCCCGGACAATCTCGCGCACTGAGTCCTCCGGATCTCTGGGGGGGAAACATCGGCACTGGAACTCCTGGCCTCCTGGCCGAGTTCTCTATCAACAGCAACAGCAACAATGACTTCTACGACATCAGCGCCGTGGATGGCTTCTTCATCGGCACTGGGATGAGCATCACTGGATCTGGCAGGGGACTGACTTGCCGAGCGGAGGCTTCGACTTGTCCTCCCGAGAACACGAATGGGAATGTTTGTACCAGTCCCAACCGCGACGATCCAAACTCCCAGTATGCACAGAACGTCCGTGCCTCATGCCCGGATGCTTATAGCTGGTCTGGTGACAACACCAAGACTTTTGCCACTGGAACCGGAGGAACTTTCACCATTACGTTCTGCCCGTGAGCGATGGTGTTATTCAATCACTTTATAAACGATTATAAATAAATTCTAGTCCTTATTGAGCAAAAATCTTGTCACGCGTTCCAATTCCAACTCGCGAGATCGATACGTTAGCGCAGCGGCATCTGGATCCACCCCGGCCACCTCCGTACCACACCTATCGCCCTCCGTATCATTCCATCTACAAACCCCATCATCCACAAACGTCCCATGCAGCCGTAGTGGGCGTCACGCCGTGGTCGCGACCATGGTCGCGGGGAATGGATCAGGGCGCCAGGAGCGTGGCCCAGGCGATGGGATTCAGAGCTTCTCCGCGCGGGAGCTCTGCAGCCCCGAGCTCTAGTGTTCATCAACCCCGGGAATCCCACTGGACAGTGCTTGTCCGTGAGCGCGGGCAAATGCTGTGCAGTCCAGGATACGACGTCGCGCTCCGGCATCAATGCGAAGAGCTCCAGCGATGATTCAGCGGCTGTGAGCATCAGGTTCCAAGAGAGCTGGTTGCGGGGGATCTTGGCGAACAGCGCCTGGGCTTCTTCCAGATTCTTTCCGGACAGGGTGTAGGCGGCCGGCATTGCGTTCCAGGACAAAGAATTCCACTGCGGCATCCTCTCGAAGATCTCTCGGGCTTCTTCCAGATCTCCAAAGCGCGCGATGCTGGAAAGAATCGCGTTCCAGGAGGCCAGGCTCTGCTCCGCCATCTGGGCGAAGAGGCTCCTGGCCTGGCACGGATCGCCTCGCTGTGAATACGCATCGATCATCGCGGTTCGAGAAACAGGTTCCTCACCGGCATGGGATCGAAGAGCTCTCTCGCGAGTTCCAGGTCGCCGCACAAGATCCATGCATTGAGCATCGCGATCCAGGAGATCAAAATTTCTCTCCGGCATCCGCTCAAACACGAGTTGGGCATCGCCTCTAGTCGCGTGAGCCGATAGCAGCGCGATGCCGTGCTTGGGCATTGCGTGGAAAATCTCGAGCAGAGCATCAAGATCGCTAGAAATTCCACCCAGTAGCGTGATCCACGAAACCAGATCCCACTGCGGCATCGCACGAAAGATCACCAGAGAAATCGCAAAGTGGGCATTTGCGGCGAGTATTATTCCACGCCACCAAAGTTTTGGCTTCCGTAATCTCAAACAGCTGATTACCCCGAGCTAAACCACATGCAACGATTATCGCTATCAAGGAAACAGCATTCCACGCGGGCATAGCACCAAGAAAAATCTTTGCCTCGTCTAGATGCCCGTGCTTGGAATATGCGCACACACATGGCAGTCCACGAGACTAGATTCTTTGCTTGCATGGCATCGAAAATTCCTGTGGCATCTGGGAAACATCCGGCCCGAGCATATACCGAAAGCATCGCATTCCAGCTAGCCATCAAATATCCTCCTCGAATCTCCCAGATGCCCAGAATTGGCAATTGATGCACGATCACACACAATTGGATCCTCCCATTGCAACCAATTCTGCTACTCTGACCAGCAGCACCGCCTCTCATCGATCATTAACACCAAAAGCACCAAGTAGACTTCTATGTCTGAAGGATCAGACTGAATATACCCGGACAGCCGGCTAGGGTTAACAGTATGGAGGAGATTGTAGAGTTCATTGAAGACATAGATGGGGCAGAAGGTTGCGAGTTTTACCTTAACGATGGTAGAGTGGCAGTAAATGATGTTCTCCAGGAGTTCTCGGCTGTCTTTATCAGTGTGAAGCGCTATGAGCAAGGGAGGGTCAGGTGGAGACGTCTACAGGCAGGGGAAGACGGCCTGAGCAGGTCTACGTATGTGCCTGGATCTTCTCATACTATTCGGGCAACAAAGGCTCCTACACGTACGTAGCATTTTGGTGTGTATTTGGTGCCTGGGATGTGCTCGTTCTGCTGGAATCTTGGTCTCTTAGGAGTCTGCTTTGATCGTTTCTTCTGTTTTTGCCTCCTCGCATGGGCTATTCGCGCTGTTTTGTGCTTGCCCCGCTGGCTATTGCCGAGTACTGACAAGTTTATATTTCTGTTTCAGAGGCCCCGCCGATAACCCTTCAAGCTGCGCCAGGTAAGCACTTGCTGAGCAAAACCACGACTTGGCTGCAACTTGGCGTTTTACTTGTCGTGGTGCTAGTGCGGCTATAGCTGGGGCTATGGTGTCTGTGTGATTGTGATCGGCTGTTGCCTTTGTTGGTGGCTGTCGACATGGCGTCTTGTGTAGCTTGTAGAACGTGTTACCTGGGTTCTCGGCATCTGTGGCATCATGGTCTCTTCGTATGGTTTTCTGCTTAATGTGTTGGTGTATACTGTGGCTATCGTTTTTGGCGTCTTTTACTTTTTGCTTCTACTACTGACAAGTTTGTGTTGTAGTGTCGAGGTTGCTGGATGTATACACGAAACAACTGGAGGATGCAAGGGTTTTTCACGGAATGCCGGCGAGGAGGGTGCCAGGCTACAAGTTGCCTCTTGTGGACAACGGTGGGCAGCCGTGTTTACAGACGGACTTCGGAGATTATTTTACTTTGGTCGGAAGGGAGGAGATGATTCAGCATCTTATGGCTGCCACTGCACGGGTCTTTGCAACTTTCATGAACAAGACTTCCAGTGCCTCAGATTTCGAACGAAAAGAGTTCATGTTGATGGTCATCGGATTCCCCGGAGCAGGCAAAACAACTGTCGGGACATGTCTCTCAGCTCTTCTCAGAGAAGCGTGGGAGAGGGACACAAAAACAGGGACTATAGATGCCATTCTCGAGGACCAGCTAGGTTACAGTGGGCTTGCCACTCAGTTCAAGGAAATGGTGAACAACGTGCTGGAGACTGGCAAAGATCTTAGTATGTACCATTCGGTTGAAACGACCATGGCGGGGGGTGCACTTCTGCTCGAGAACGGCCTGGAAGGCGCACAGGTTTTGGCGCTTCGGTCCTTGCATGCAGCCCTTTGTCCAATGAATACGACTGCATATGCTGATTTTCTCAAGGAGTTGGATGACATGTTTCCGGGCCTGAGGAATGTGCTGACTTTCGGAGATGTGATCGACTTCATTCGAACCGGTCTTAAGGTTCCTGCCGACAAGCGAATTTTTCTATCTTGGTTTTTCGATGAAGTCAACAAGGCCCGACCTCAGCGAGGTCTCCCAGCTGCATCGTCCTGGATTCATGAAGCTTTCTCGGCCTACGTTCGACATATCAAAAGTAACCGAGGTGGCATGACGTTTCCTGTACTTCAAGTAGCAACGACCCGATTTTCTGGGGCCACAATGCGTTACACAGAGAAGGTAACAAGTATTTTTATACCTATTAGGCCTCTGAAGGAGGAGGAGGTGGTAGACGTAACGACGATCTTCCTTTCAAGACTAGGAAATACTCTCGGCATGGAGAAGCCATTTGAGTTGAAGGACGGACTAAGGAAGCTGATAAAGTTATCAGGAGGGAATCCTCGCATGCTTAATCACCTTTTGAGAGGGTTGATGCCTGAGCACCCTCATCTTGAAGCTTCGAAGTTCTACGAAAAGGTTTCTTCCGTTCTTTTTTGTCCTTTTTCTTGATGAGAAAACTGTATGCTTGTTACAGGTGAATCAAGATCTCAGCCAAACCGATCTCCGTGATACAATAAGGAACGCGTGGAGTACTATCAAACGCGGTTATTATTTTCACTACCTTGTGGACAAGAGGTATTTGTTGGTGCTACGAGCTCTTTATGTTGCGCTGTTGGGGACCCTGATCAGTCGGGAGGACCTAGTTTGGCCAGGTAGTAGATACAAAGATAAGTGGGGATTTTTAGAGTCTTGCGGTTTAGTTGGACTCTTACGCAACGAGGTACTTTTCTGATATTTCAGAAGTTTATGTGAGTGCTTAT